TACTGCCGTAACTTAATTTTGATGTATATGTTTATTTTGTAGCTGTAGAGTTTACTGTAAAAATCCGCGCTCCTATCCCCATCAATTTAGCAGCAGCATCAGAGTGTGCAAAACATTTTTTAGTTGTATTGGTTGATATACAGCACTGTGAAAATATTTTTAAATGCAAGTTTTTAGCACTTTTTAATAAAGCTTGGTTCAAGGATGTTATACCATATAGTGTTTTTCTTTCCTCCTGAGCACTACTGAAAAAGAAATTGTACCTGAGGAATTAAAGTGAGGAGCGATCTTACAGGTGGATGACTCGCATTGTGCCAAGGGAACTAACTGTTCGAAAAAGGTATTAATAGACCATCTAATTTGTGGTCAACCATTTCTGGTGAGTGAGGCATCTGACGTATATATATATATATACATACACACACATACATACATACATACACACACACACACTATATTGCCAAAAGTATTGGGACATCTGCCTTTACACGCACATGAACTTTAATGTTATACCAGTCTTAGTCAGTAGGGTTCAATATTGAGTTGCCCACCCTTTGCTACTATAACAGGTTCAACTCTTCTGGGAAGGCGTCCACAAGGTTTAGGAGTGTGTCTATGGGAATGTTTGACCATTCTTCCAGAAGAGCATTTGTGAGGTCAGGTACTGATGTTGGACGAGAAGGCCTGGCTCGCAGTCTCCGCTCTAATTCATCCCAAAGGTGTTCTATCGGGTTGAGGTCAGGACTCTCCACAGGCCAGTCAAGTTCCTCCACCCCAAACTCGCTCATCCATGTCTTTATGGACCTTGCTTTGTGCACTGATAGGCAGTCATGTTGGAACAGGAAGTGGCCATCTCCAAACTGTTCCCACAAAGTTGGGAGCATGAAATTGTCCAAAATGTCTTGGTATGCTGATGCCTTAAGAGTTCCCTTAATTGGAACTAAGGGGCCAAGCCTAAGCCCTGAAAAACAACCCCACACCATAATACCCCCTCCATCAAACTTTACACTTGGCACAATGTAGTTAGGCAAGTACCATTCTCCTGGCCAAACCCAGATACGTCGATCGGATTGCAAGACAGGGAAGTGTGATTTGTCACTCCAGAGAACCAGTCTCCACTTCTCTAGAGTCCAGTGGCAGCGTGCTTTACACCACTGCATCTGACGCTTTGCATTGCACTTGGTGATGTAAGGCTTGGATGCAGCTGTTCGGCCATGGAAACCCATTCCATGTAGCTCTCTATGCACTGCTTTTGTGCCAATCTGAAGGCCACACTAAGTTTGGAGGTCTGTAGCTATTGACTCTGCAGACAGTTGGCGACTTCTGCGCACTGTGCGCTTTAGCATGCGCTGACCCCGCTCTGTCATTTTATGTGGCCTACCACTTTGTGGCTGAGTTGCTGTTGTTCCCAGTTGCTTCCACTTTGTTATAATACCACTAACAGGTGACCGTAGAATATTTAGTAGCAAGGAACTTTCACGAATGGACTTATTGCACAGGTGGCAACCTATTACGGTACCACGCGTGTGTGTGTGTGTGCACATGCGTATATATACACTGATATATATACACTGAGTGGCCAGATTATTATAACCACCCCATCAGTACTTCGTTGGGCCACCTTTTGCCTTCAATACTGCGGCGATTCTTCTTGGCATTTACTCCACGAGATGTTGAAAGGTGATGCAAGGAATCTGACACCATGCCTGATGAATAGCACTGTCCAGTTCTGTGAGATTTGATGGTTGTGGCACCAACTGCCTGATGGCTCTTTCAACTTCGTCCCACAAATGCTCAATTGGATTGAGATCTGGTGATTGTGGGGGCCACCTAAAACAAGGTAAAGTCTCCCTCGTGTTCTTGAAACCATTCCTGCACAATACGAGCACCGAGGCATGGCGCATTGTCTTGTTGGAAGAAGCCATCTCCAGTGGGATACGCCATCAACATGATAGGGTGAACTTGATCAGCAACGATACTTTGGTATGTTGTGCTATTCAGACGTTGTTCCACACGAATTAAAAGGGCCCAAATCATGCCAGGAAAACATGCCCCAAACCATAACAATGCCGCCGCCAGCTTGAAGGGTTGTACTCATGCATGTGGGATGCATGCTTTCATGTTGTTCCCGCCAAATTCTCACTCTGCCATCGGACCACATGACTTTTTTCCAATGCTCAACTGTCCAATCCTTGTGTTGTTGTGCTAATTGGAAACGTTTTATCTTGTTAACCTAAGCGATCGCCGCTGCTGAAGAAGTAGAATCAGTGCAGCACTGTGGCTGTCCTCACTCCGGTGTTCTATCTAAAGCTCACTGTACAGAGCTCCAGTCTTTCTGGGCACCGGAAGTGAGGTAGTTAAAAAATCCAGGGGCGGACTGCCCGAGGACACGCACCAACAGGGTCCCGTCACTGATTGCTGCTTCACTTTGTTTTCAACCAGCCCAGCCTGCAGCAGTATGTGTCCCTCGCCCCAGGGCCCACCATATGACATTCTCCACAGGGCTGATGCATGCATTTTTGCACAGTGGGAGGTACATTTATCTGCCCACGCACCCCCCCCCCTTTCCCCAGCACCCTCAGGCTGCTGCCCTTGCAGCCTTATGCCAGCCAGGCTTAACCTGCTTGCGGATTTGTAACTGCAGGTGTCAGGCTAGTACTTCAAGTAGCTGGCCTTCTGTGGGGCAGCCTGCTGCACCCACCCACTGGACGTGCTGAAGGTGAGTGCTCACCAGTATACTGGCATAGAAGGACCTGCTCATTAATGTGTGTGTTTGGGTGACATTCCACAGGAATCAGAGTGTGTGTGTGTATGTCTGTTTGTGATGGTTGATCTGATTTAGCTGTGTCTGTGTCATTCTATCTGCCCAGTGTGAGGTCTGATGTGTGTTTGTTCTGGTCTGCAGTCTGACGTGTGTTGATCTGCAGTCTCAAATAGAAGTCACCAGCACTCAATGATATGC